TTGCACGTATTTATGTAAAGAATAAACTGTAAAAATTTGAAACAATTCTCACATAACTGATTTTACGAAAGAACTACCTTAAAGCCTTGAAAAATAGGCGATTTTAAACTTTCTTTATATGTAAATACGAACCAAAAATTATGCTTTGTTTTTAATGAAGCTTGAAGTTCATACAATACATAAAAATTTTGTAAAATATTTTATTGGTAGTAAGACTGGGAAACAGCACATCGTGGCTAGCGTTGTGCGAAATACACGGGAGGCTGGTTGACAGGATTCCGGCTACAATTGTTACCCAACGTAAATAAACGACAGCGCTTATTAAACTACAGACTAGTGGCTGCGGTCCATCGAGCTGGATGTTGACAAATTGATTTTTCGAGTTTTGCGACAAGTTTGAACTAAAACTCAAAAATTTCACTGTAAAAACGAATACAGTTATCAAACAAATGGAACGGACGATGGAAAATTGAATTACGAACAGATAGCGCTTTGTTTGAAGTAAATTGGTTGATTTTTTAATACTAGAAGCTGTCAACCAGGTCAAGAAACACGATTTTGAGAAACGACGCTTTTAAAGCGTGAAATAATACTGCCGAGTGCTGCACAGCGCTCGTGCAAAAACAATTCTAGCGCCGTAAATATTAAGAATTCTGACATCAGACATTGAAAATATCATTTTTTATCATTCAAGCTTCACTTAAAAAAAATGCATTTTAATAGCGTAACTCCCCCTCCCCCTCACACGATGTTTATTCAACCTTCCGTTACTTGCGTACGTATGTAACGGGTCCACAGATTTGTTCACGTACAAATCTACAATTACAATTCACAATTCCTCAAATCCACGCCTCTTTACGACACTTACATACTGCAGAAGCTCGATACCACGAACGAATGCTCCTACGCCACTGATTTCTTTCGTGCTCTCGTCGAGCAAATTCCCAGCCGAGGTTGTTTCGCATCGACAGGCGAACTTTGTTGCAGAACAGCGAGAACAGTTTGAAGGCCATTAGTCCGGACACGCCGACATTGTCATATTCCACGCCTAACAAGCACTACATCAAGTTCAACAATGGACGCGCCAGCACCATCGTCAGCACCAGCTCCAAGACGAGGGTGAACAGTCAAGCGGACGTTTTCGCGACCACTTACAGACGAAGAACGCACTTCATGGATTCTTGCCTACGGGATTATCATTTGATGCTGAAAGCTGCGGACGCCGAGATGGAGAACGCCATTAACCAGATGCCTCTCAGCAAATGGGAGTGAGTCACTTTTGCAGCGAATTTTTCCTCTACGTCTGAAACATCCGATTGTTAGGTTCTCAAAAATTTGTTGAGTTTCATAAATTTTCAGCCAAGTATTACATTTCGACAGAAAAATATTTGAGAGTGAGAGAGAGAGATTGATAGAAACGCCTGTGCTTTTTCCAGACAATGGAGCAACTGGAAGCACATCAATCCACTCTTCCTGACGTTTCGCCAATGGAGCTGGGAGATTCCATTCCTGCGCGAACCGGACCCCGTTTTCAAATTTTACATCGGCTGCTCTGCCTTCGTGCTCGTCTTCATGGGACTCATGTATCTCGTGCCCACGTTTATACTCGCTCAGTACGTATATGTCAGAAGTTGACATCGACTTAATAATACGAGACTCGTTGAACTTCCAGACGGCATCTGAGCACACTCGTCGGCTTTGCGTCGGCACTGACGTTCCTGATCGCTTTAATACCCCTCACGTGGATGCATTTTGTGTGGAATCGCTGCAAGGACCCGCACGACGAGCACGAAGGTCACGTTCCACATCCGCGGAACAAACTACTGTATTTCTTCTATCAAACAAGCGTGAAGGTAGATACAGCGTTGCTGAATATTTAACACTTGCACTTATTACATTGTATATTCACTTTATCATCATTCTGTTCACTCTCACGTAGGTTGTATGGAGCGCCCTTCTGAGGACGATCTTGTACCTGGTGATTACGATAATGTTAGCGACATGCGCCATGCTCGATATGATTGTAAGCGTTTTCTTAATTAAGACTTCAGATCGATTTTCTTCTTTTTTTTGTCGATTATTTCGTCACGATATATGTATAATCGTGATATCGGCTGTCGAAGCACTGTCTACTAGCCGTAAAAAATCAAAAGATAGAAACTTTTCTTCCGCGATTAAGGAGTTAAACTGTTTCCAGTTCGAATGTGAAAACGTGAACTCTCTGTCGGACAATAACATAACGTCCAGCATGTCGGGGGTCGGCGCCTCCAAGTTTGATTGCATATCTTCATCTTGGGTAAGATTATTTAGGTACATGGTGTTGATCCTCATTTATATGAAATTTCCCGTCTCGACGATCCCGCTCCTGATGTCGCCGTATGTCATCGAGTTTTCTTTTCCAGCAAATGACGGAGACTTGCTCATTAGCGATTCTCACGAGTTTCCTCTTCCTGAGGGTCCACTTCGCCTTGAAACTCGTAATAAGCATCTGCGTGGTAGCCTTTTACGCGTGGAATGTCTGGGTGTATCGGTCTAATATATTTCAGGTGCAGTGTTGTGCATAGATGATTTTAAAATTAACTAGATAAAGATAAGATAAAAATATATAAATTTATCTTAGATAAGATAAAGATGATTTCGTTTTGAATATATCTAGATAAAAGATAAAATTATATGATGATTCATCTAGATAATTTTCAGATAATATTTTTAAGACTTCGTGTAAACACAGTAGAAAAAATTATAAAAAAATTATAGAAAAATTTAAATTATAAAGGGGGATATAGAATATATTCAGGTTAGGTTATATGACACACACATAAATGCATGGTCTACAACGCCATCCGTATTTAAATAGTGTAACTGTTAAGTATTTTTATGTGGTCCTAAACCAAATTATCTGTTATCTTAGATAATTTAGTAAAGATAACACTTTCTTTCATCTAAGATGCAGATATAGATAATACTTATTTTTATTATCTATATAGAGATAAGATAACGCTAAAATTTTATCTAGATAATCATCTATATAATTTTATTTAGATAACAGCAAACACTGTTCAGGTGTTACATGCGTATTTCTTTCAAGAAGCATTCCTCTTGTTACAAATTCAATTTAAAAAAAGTAATACATGTGAAAAGTATGCATCGTTATTATCTCAAAGTATTTGGCTACATTTGCAATTTAATAATTAATGATAGATAGTATATAAAATGTATTTCAGACGAGCGAAACGTGGAATCCTCACATGGAACCGAGACTGGCGCACATATTGACTGTGATATTTCTCACCTTCTCCTTGCATCTCATCGACCGCCAAGTAAGCCCCGAAATCGCAATCCGTACGAAATCTTCTTCGATCGAAATATTTTACTAAAAATATAAAATCGATGGATTTTATGCATTTATGCATCTCAAAATAAATCATAATTTTCCTTGTGAAATTCAATATAATACTATGAGATACATGTGAGGAAATTTTAAGTATACTATTGAAAAGTAATAAAAAAGTTATGAAATATTATAATAGATAATCTTTACTGAGTTTAACTAAAACCTGTGTTATGCTTTTTAATGAAAAATTTTTGAAATAATTTCTTACTGAATTTGGAAATGTCGATCGATTTGCATAAATATATTTCAGCAAATTTTAGACTTATATTTTCAATAAAATATTTCCATCGGGGTTGCCAACGTTGTTGGTCAACGAGTTAATTTTTACAAACATTTATTTAGGCAGAATACTTGAGCAGACTGGATTATCAATGGAAACGTCAGCTAACGAAGGAACAGGATGAAGCGTTTCACACGAGGAATGTCAACAAGCTTCTGCTTCGTAATATCCTGCCGGAACACGTCGGTGCGTTGGTCTCAGCAAATATCTACGCGTTCTTATAACTTGTCCGATCGATTTTCCAACGATAACATTCACCAATTGAAATGATTATTGTCCGAGACTGATCGCGTGACTGGTCGTACTTTTAGCGGAGTTTTACTTGAACATGAACCGAACCGAGGAGAACGAGCCTTATCACGAGGCTCACAACAACGTCGCCGTGATGTTCGCTTCTCTGACAGAACTGTCAATCATCGAGAGTAACATCCTCAGTGATCTGAACGAGATTATTTGCGAATTCGACAAGTTACTCTTCGATCCTTGTTTCATGTGTCGCGTAGAGAAGATAAAGGTCGCCGGTGAGAATCTCATCATGACTAGTACAAACTGAATTTTACATAACAACTAGAGCTCGTCCATTATCATATTTATCTAGGTACAACGTATATGGCGGCGTGCGGTTTAGAAGCGAATCGACGCGATTCAATGCACAGCACCGAAAGCGACGAGAATTGCAGTGACAATGTGGTCAAGGTGATGGCGCAATTTGCCGTACAAATGATGTCCGTGCTCGATAAAATGAACGCAAGGTCGTTCCCCACGTCGAAACCTCACAAGTAAGTGGATTCTAAGCACGGTAAAAAGCGATAGGCAAAATTAAGCGAAGGAAACTTGAACGAAACTTGTTCGAGCTGGGATTCGAGGACGATGTGTCGCAGCTCGAATGCTGTCCCGAGGATTTATGAATAATGCAAAAATCGCTATCCGAAATTCATCTTCAGATTAAGGATCGGCATTTCTCATGGGGAGGTGACGGCCGGCGTCGTGGGGGCCCAAAAGCCGCTGTACGACATTTGGGGCGACGCTGTAAACATGGCATCCAGAATGGACACCACTGGACTGCCAGGAAAGATACAGGCAAATTTAACGTTATTTTTAACATTAATGTTTAATAAATTCGTGCAATAAAACGAGCTACGTTTCGACTGGCGCAGGTAACAGCGGAGACGGCTGCCGTCTTGGAACAGCAAGGTGTCAAGTGTCATCTTCGCGGTGAGACGTATGTCAAGCCGAAAGGAGAGGTCACGACGTACTTTGTAGGCGTCGACGAGCAGGGAATATTAGAAAGAGCGGATGCGGGAGAAGAGAGTACTAGTTTGTGACAAACGATGAATAATAACGCGAATTAATTTTAATTAACGCGATCGGGCTCTCCCGATTAATAAATCGTCCAAAGCAGGGTGTAGTCGAACAGTCGCTTTCTAATGTCGGGCTCATTTCTAAAGTATCCAGGATGAAAAAATTACGATTAAAGATTAAAGACACGCGAGGAACTTTCCATTTTGAGATTCGCGTCCATATGCAATCAGGTTTTATATAAATAGTTGACAAAGACGAAGATACATTGTGAAAGTACAAAAAGCGATTTACGTCAGCTGCACCCTGTAACGTTTGAGCGGGGACGAGGAAGCGGAGAAACCAAAGAGAGCGTGAGAGACCAAAGAACGCGGGGCGCGAGATGAAATGACAGTAAGATAACGTAAGGGAGGATATACCTCAAATGATTTAGGTTGTACACGAAAACGCGATAACAGTGTCGTTATTCTCGCGAGCCGATTATTATCGCCGAGTAACACGTCTAATCAAAATGAAAGAGACTATATATATATATACATATATGTACTGTACGCAATTAAAATTGCAATGTTTTTGCTAGAGTATCACGTTGTCCGAAAGATGTGCACAAAGAGAGATATCCAAATAGCATCGAGTTACCTTACGTGATGCACCGTAATTATTCGCTCATTATTGGCTCGATCTTTATGTAGCATGCGATTCCAAGATATTCCGATTTGCTCAGAACGTCAAAGAGAATATTTTAAAATATCTGACGACCGTCTACCAATTGTAACAACTGTAAAGACGTAGCTAATTAAGAACAATGTCTCCGACGTCTAAATCTCTATATAGAAATCCAAAGGCATTATACAATATTAAAGTGTAAAGTATAAAATGGCGCGAAGAGAGTTTCGACAGACTATTAAATGAAATATAACTTACAAAAATATTCTAAGAACATCCGCGTGTATCCTAAGGATATCTCACACGTACAGTCGTTAACGACTGAATAATTAATCTTATCGCGGATATACATATATTAAATTACAGATCAAATCTGGACGTCCAAAGATCCTTGAGGATATATCCGCTGGATGTTCTTGGGATTATATTTTGCTATGTGAAAGGAGTGATATTGGAAAATTGTGCTCGTTGAGTTTGTCCATATCTGTTCGGCCGAAAGCAGATGTACAATCGAAAAGCAGGATGTAATGTAATATCTGTCTCTTAAACACATAGAGAAAAGTCCCCTATTATGAGATAAGCTGCTGATATGAGATAGCAGGGTTTCTGCTAAAGTAATAGGCACCACCCGTACAGCACAAAACTTGCAGTTACATTGCAATAACGTTGCTGTAATGTAGCTGCAATGTAACTGCAAGGTTTGTGCTGTATGGGCACTGTTTGTTCCGCTATGAATTTATTGCTCTCGGAGTGAAATCTATTTAGTAGAAAATTTATTGTCAGATCGTGTAATCGTCGCGGAAAAAGATTTGGGGTTGAATTTGGATGTTGAAAACCTGCTATCTCATAATAGAGAACTTCTCGCTATCTACCGGCCAAATAGACGACGACACGTCGCAATAAAGAATTGTGTGGCGAGATGAGAGTTTCTTTCGTTTTCATGAAGGCAGGCGAGAAAATGTGCGACGAGCTTGAAGTCGATTCAAGAGTACTAGTTGTCAATTCGTGAGCGCACATCACAAAACTAACAACGCACGTCTGTCTTTATCTTGCGTTTGCGTATTTTCCTGAGTGCTGCGTGAACTCATTCCTTTACTATTGCGACTGCGTGTCATAAGATACAAAGATTACGAGAAGGAAACGCGTGGCGACAGATTTATTTTTATATCGTATGCAGTAATGGCGGATCGTTTAATTGTTTATTTGTAAATATCTTTTGTATATATATTTTTTAAATATTAGAAATAATTGACTAATGTGATTGTCCAACGACTTGAAATAAAATATTTATTACCGTGTATTTTCTCGACCACCTTTCATTCGTCTGTGTATGCCATGACCTTATCCTGTCACCAAAAAATATTTATAATTCATATATGATAGTATACAGAATATTTGCTAAATAGATAAAGATTATTTCAAATTAAACAATTAAATTTAAAATTACATTTTATCATCTAGTTGTTTCATTCATCAAATATATTATTATACTCACATTTTAATTGTTAATAGTTTTCAAACCTGAGAAACAGAAAGAAATAACTTCAAATAAAATTGAAATTTTTGACAATACCAGTTTCTTGTATGTTAATACCACAAATATTATTAATGTAGTTTAAAATTTTAAGTGTTGCTTAATTATCGTTTACTGTGAAGTAGATTTTTACACAACTTTTATAAATAAATAGTATATAAAAATAATTATGTGTAAATAAGAGAGAATAAATAATATAACAATACAAAAATGTGCAGTTGTTTATATAGAAATTGATCTGAAATAAAAGAAGAATCTTGTTTTAAATTCCAGTAGTAAAAATTAGCACAGTGTAAGAGTGCAATTTTTTTTCTTCGTAGTAAAATTCTGTTAGGTTTTATTGCCAATGTAATTGACATATTAATTAAAATGTAAAAATTTTTACGATAAAGTTCTTCTAAAACTATCAACTTCGATATATCAATATTTCACAAGTTTCGAAAAACATAAAATCAATAAATTGTAAATTTAACAAATATAAAAATTTTTATCGATTTTCATGTTTTAATGTATTTTTGACAGCAACGTATTCATAATCTTAGTTTATAACTTTAATGTTAGTATAGTCATAAATATAAATAATATTCTGTATTATACATATGTAATAATAAATCGGGTTTACAATAATAAAGATCAATCTTTTAATAGGCAATGTACAAAACGTTTCGCATACACAGTATGCACATTCGTTTTATATCCGGATATAAAACTTATTAACATTAACGTTAATGTACAATTAAATAATTAAACATTAATCTAATGTTTACAGGATAATTCGCAGGAATAATCGCGCCTCGTTTATTAATAGAACTTTGGATCGATTATTCTACTTCCCACTCACTCTCTCTCTCTCTCTCTCTCTCTATCACTCCCATTCTTTCTTTCTCTACCACTCTCTTGCTCTCATGCACATACGCACCCACACATATACAAGCACTTCTCCATTCCCCCGTCTTTCATCATTCGTTCATATAATCAACTAATTAAATTATATTGCAGAAGTGTTCATAATTCTGTCATGTACATCTCCCCCCTCCCCCATCAGAGGATAAATGCGTCACACTTTCCCCGGCAAAATGCAAGGTTGAGATTCACTTTAGTGAGAACAAGGCACTTCTAGCTAAAATGCTCATACTAAATTTATATAAGTTGCACGTCCTCGACAATGAAGGATGGTCCATTATCGGAACTTGAAGTGCGAAATGCAGCTTCTGGAAGAAAAAAAAAAGAAAGAGTAGTGTGTGCACGAATGTACAGGCTGTCTCAAATGTGATGTATATCAGTAACAGCTAAAAACATTTGAGGACGAGAAAGCATTAAAATATCAGTCATAAATATATAAAATTGAATAAATTTTTCAAATAAGCATTGATTTGTCTTCATGCAATGCAGACAGACTAGAAACGATTAAGTTTACTTCTTTTTGCGCGTAATTCGTATCGCTAACAGAATACTTCCCGTTATTCAACACCAAAGACATACTTATATTAAAATAAGAGAAAAAAGTATAGATGAAATAACTATTAAAGAAACATGATTCCGTCGTAAACGTACACTTTAGGAGCACCCTGTTTATTGAAACAACTCATTCGACATTGTTTTATTGTTAATTATCGATAAACCTTCAATCGTTTTAACACTTTAACGCCTGCGAGGAACTCTTTTTATTTATGCTGTAAAACTTAAGCAGATGACAGAAAATAATCTATTCAGCTATTTGTAATATATGTTAATTAACAATTATCTTATTTAAGCTCATAAATCAACTGCAGCTCCACGAGCTAATTCAGCTAATTACATAATAAATAAATCGAGAAAAGCAAGTGCCTTACTTATTAATATTTTCGTGAGCGATGTTTTAATTACAAGAGAGATTATGTCGTGACTTTATTTTCCTTTGAAAGAAAGAGGGAGCAGCATCAACTGTACACACATCACGGAGATAAACTATTACTAATTCACATCCCTCCGAGACAGCCTATATCGTAAATGTATCTTTCGACACGTTCTACATCTTCCGAAAGTGTCAGGAGTTTTTCATGCCCGACCGCCCGACGCATTTATCGCGCAAGAATAGGGGCGAGATCTTCGAAGATACTTTCTTTTGTGTCCTGTTCGTGAAATTGCACTTGCGGCCGCGTATATCCCTCTCTCCCTCCCTTCCTCCACGCGTGATCTAAGCAATAGTTCGTTTTCGTTTTCGTTCGCCGACCGATGAACGATGCCCTAATTTAATCGCCATCGTCGCGGGCTCGGAAAGGAACGGAAGCGGGCGGCGAGCTACAAAACGGATCGATAAATCGCATCTCTTCCTCGTATTTCTGCAACCACGCGCGGAAGAGATCAAAGGCAAGGAATGCGTAAGGCAGTGCGTGCTGAGATCACGATCCTCGCAAATAAAAGAAGAAAAGAAAGAGAAAAGGGGGGAAGTACGACGGGATACACGTCGAAATGGTATAGATGTATATATATGTGTGCTTTACGTTCACGCAGTAAACGTAACAATATATTTGCGAGTCGCGAATGACCTGCGTGCGTCGGTAAAACGGCGTCGTCGGGAATACGGTTTCGGCGATCAAACTTGAAAGTTGGAGAGAGATAAATTCTCGATATTATTTTATTAAACAACCAGAAAAAGAGAAAGAGAGAGAGAGAGAGAGAATATCTCACGTTTGCGCTTTTTGCATTTTGGTTTTCCTTTTGCGTTTGCTATATTGGGCCAGAGTGCCGCAACGATTCGTTTGTCTTCAACAGAACAATGCAACAATGCAAACAAATCGATTACAATTAGAAAACCAAAGAGATAATAAATGTACTCCCGTACAGCACAAAACTTGCAGTTACATTGCGATAACATTGCTACAATATTGCAACATTGCTATAATGCAGCTGCAATGTAACTGCAAGGTTTGTGCTGTACGGGCTGATTCGATTGCTCATTTTAAGTTTAATAAAAATTAATAAAAATAAAAATTAATTATAATTTTCGAGGGATGTAATAAAAATAAAGATTAATTTCTAAACGTAAGCCCAATTTTCACGGTTTGGCGACGACCGAATGCACGGTTAGTTGCAAAACGATAAAGGATTTAATGATTAATGAAGTCAGCGTATCGTTCCGGCATTAAAGCTTTACATTCTCTTTTTTTTCGGTCACAAACACAGAAAAATATTAATTAATACAAGAGCACCTTATAATCGTCAGCCTACCTCTCGAATCGATATTAAAAACAAAACAATTTTGCGAGTTTATAATTCTCGCAACATAAAACAAATTGAATGCGACGCTTTCGGTTGAGTCTCCGGATTATTGACGGATTGTTTATCGCCGTTATCTTTTTTTTCTTTATAAACGAGAACGTTCTACGATCGAGAAGAAACATTCATCGCCTACGTAATATAAACGAAAAATAACAATAGGGAAAATGTACGAAGCGGACCAGAACGTAAACACTGTATTTTATTAGTACACTTTAAAAATGTCCATTGACACGCCTGTATGTTTTCCATTTTCTTTCCTTTTTCTCTTCTCTTATAATGAACCTCGACAAAACGGCGGAGAACGTAGTCAGATGGATTTGAAGGCATGGGCGAGGGAAAACGAGTGATTGCGGTTTCTTATTTTGAACGTGTGGACAAGGAAAGGAAATAATAGAAGAACCGTGAAATGTAGATCAGAGCGATCGGGTCAGAAACACATGTTATTCATCGAAAATTGAAACTGCCGTAATTTCGAGAAAAAGAGAGAAAGAGAAAGAGAGGGAGAGAGAGGGAGAGAGAAAGAGAGCTCATTTTCCGTCAATGTAAATTTCATGGGGGAGCATTTTCATAATTTTCACAACACGGAAATTTGAACTCGGCGAAATTACGCTCGGTTCCAATCGACGCTACCAATTAACTACCGTCAATTAATTATCATGGTTTTATGCGATTTCTGGTACTCGACCTCGCTCAAAGCGACCCTTCCTTCACGACTCAGAAAATTTATCGTCACAGTCGTTCTCTCAGCGCATACACAAACAACACAAACCCTCCTGACATAAAAACCTACGCGAGTGGCGACGATTGTGGTCATTATCGCAGCGACTACGAGCGACGTATCGCATCCAGATCATTCATTGTACGTTGCCCCTAATTATTTGGGATCGATAATAGCGCATATGTGTGTACACATGTATATACATGTATGCGAACGCAAGCCGCTTTATTAACACTCGTTAAGATTTTAACGAAACATGTACTAAGTATACATATATCTATGTATATATACACATATACATATCTATGTATATGCACATATATATACATATATATAGTTTCTTTTATTTATATATTTATATAGGCGAATCAATCGCACAGGAGAACGTGAAGAATCTTCATTACCGAAGATCTCACTGTTCCAACGGAACCAACCGAATCTGTCTACTTTTATATATCTGTATATATATATATATATCTATCTGTGTGTGAGTATATGTGTGTGTATGTATCAAGTGTAAGTGTACGTACACGTGTACGTGTGTGTGGGCACGCGCAGGAGCGCACACGCGTGTGAATATCGAAGCGTGTCAGTTTGTTTATTTACAGAATGCGAAACGCGCTTCGCGTGTGTATCCGGTCGGATTATGACGACGCGGAGTCGCCGAGTCTTTCAAGGTTTCTCGCTTTATCTACCAATTACTGCCTCGTCCCCGGCCTCTGAAACCACCGCCGCCCCAAAACTGTTTGCCTCCACGCTTCAATCCTCTCGGCGCGAAGTTACCGGCTGCGGGACCACGTGGCCCCCTGTCCATCCACGGGCCCCGTGGCAATCCCACGGGCCCACCCCTGAAACCTCCTCTGCCTCCTCTAGAAGAAGGCGGAGGAGGTCCGCCCCGCCAGAGTGGAAAAGGTGCGCCAAGGCGCGGCCGGAAGTTTGGCCCGTCGTATTCGTACATCATGGCGGGATGCGATTCCGTTATCAGCGTAGGACCGTTCGGGCCAGACAAGTCATCGTTCGGGATTTGTGGCCCGTTCTGCAAGAGCGGCCTTTTTTTGTTCGGGCTTCCCTCTTCGTGACTTTGCTCATCGCAATCGCCGTTCGTCGTTCTCTTCATCTCTTTACCTAACGCGCTCGAACTCATTGACTCGTCCAACGATTCCTTTTCCGTGGAATTCACGTTCTGTCCCTGATTAATCGATTCGTTGTCGGGCGCACTTGCCTTCTCCGCGAGATCGGAGTGCTCGGTCGAGGACTCAACGCGCTCCTCGCAGTCCGAAGTAGGAACGTGCTGCTTTTGTTGCGATTCATCGCCGATCTTATCCGCCCTTATCGGAATAACCGTCACTTGATTCATCGACGATGGCTGTTCTTCCGACTCGGCCGAAGATGACGCTCGCTGCTCGTGTTCGGAGCCTAACTGATAACCTTGCTGCTGTTTGTTGCGTTCGGAATCGTGAGTACTCGGCATGTCGTGCGAAGTTCGCCGTGCGTGTGATACCGAGGAGCTCTGGCAGTTATCGGAATCGCGTTCTGGTTCCGCTTGAGCGTCCGTTTTGTTAGATATCGCGTTGTTGTCCTGATCGAATTCCGGCATGCCGATCGGCCTGCCTTCCTCGTCGAAGATAACAGCGGTGTCAGGTGGTTGCAGTAACGATCGATTGTTGGGCAGGATCTCCGACGACGATGGGTGATGCTGTTGTTGTTCCTGCGATCTCGCCTTGCGGCTGTTTATCAGATTATTCCGCTGCTTTTGTATATTGTGATCTTCCGAGTATCTGTCTCGGCGATTCCTCGGAAATCCACGGTCGCCACCACGATTGTTCCACTCGTTCCTATGAAAGGACGAATTGTCGTGTGGATGCTGGTGGTCTGCCGATTGCGGGTATCTTCCGCGTCCCGGTGATTCCGTCAAAAAGTCTTGCTTGGAACGGATATTGTGTTCTCTATCGCGATATTCAAAGTCCTGCTGCGGCTGACGAAGTTGATGAAAATCTGGTTGATTTGAATGAAAGTCCTGTTGATTCCGCAGGAAGTTCGGTGCTCTGTTCTGCTGAAACTTTGGTTGATTCGAATGAAAGTCCACCGATTGTTTGCAGTGGGGAAATTCCGGCTGTTCTTGCCGGAAACCACCCTGACCCTGATGCTGAAATTGCGGTAGCGGCGGCGGTGGAGGCGGTCCCGAGCGCATCAAGTGTACATCTTGCATGAGTTGACTATCACGTGGGCCGGGCATTTGCCCGATGGGAAGAGGAATCATACGCATATCCATGTCGTGATGAGACGATGGCGGTATACCGACACGCATGTCGCGATCCTGCAACCTTAGATCGACGAGAACCCTGCCTTTCGGTTTGCTATCAGTCTCGTCATCCGACATCTCCATGTCAACACTCTCGACAATATCACCAGATTGCATGTGTCGCCTGAATTAATATATAAGAATATGATATGAGAATTAATATTTACATCAATTATATAAACGCACAAATATAAACATGTCTAGCTATAAATAGATGCTCGTGAAAATAGCATAAGGCTCACCGATAATCTTGATCGCCGGTGGACCATAGACTATTGTTATTGGATAAAGAAGACAGCGACGTATCACCAAGATTATGATGATTTGCCGGGCTGCCAGTCAGACTGATTAAATTACGATGATCCACATCACCCGCTTTCATCAGACGATACGGTAGCTGATTCTCGCGGGCCATTGGGATTGGAATCACTCTGTAAATTATACGAAAAGTGATTATAATAACTGAAAAATCATGTTGATAACTGATCAGTAATCTAGAAGAACAAGAACGATATTCTGATAGAAGGTGTGTTACCTATGATCCACATCTCCTGTGGTATTTAGAGATTCTTGTGGTTGCGGTTCGTTGTACTCCACCGGTTCGGCGAAGCCAGCCTTCTCGTACATAGGCGGCGATTCGGGAGTCTCGGACAGCATATCATTTTTCGTCCTGCCACCGACCGGCCATGTGGAATCGTTATTGGAGTCCCACCTGTCTCCATCGCCGTCCATCCACGAACTTTTGTTTTTATCATCGCATTCACCAGGCCATGTAGGATTCATACTGTTCTTGCCTAAACATGCAAAAGTTGTTATAGCGAACACTCTGCGGCAATAAAGAAGCCAAAAATTACATTTGCAGTACATCGTCCATATACCTTTTTCTTCCCATTTTGCGGAGTCCTTAATACCCTCGTTCGGCGGCGTCCACGTGGGGAATTTCGGCGGCAGTTTATTGTAACAATTCTCATCGTCGAGGAAGATAGGCGGCGGTAAAGGTGGAGGAGGCAAAGGATTAACCGTATTGGTGTTAGTAGAGCCATCAAAGGGACCAGTTATGTTACTTTGACTATTCTGACTGGAATACGGGGAGGGTGTGTGCGACTCCGATAGATTGCGAACCGCCAACGGGGTACTGTGACTCATCTGGCAATTGTTTAAACCACCGCTCCCACTGAGGGACGGTGTACCCTGACTACTTATGATTCTCGAGATCACAGGTGTTACGGGGTGCGGACCCAACGAGGGCGAATGTCTATAGTTGGGACGTTGCGGCGATTCTACTCGATTTTCGGCAACGTCCAGGCCTAGACCTGGAATTCCACCTGACTCGGACGTTCCATCGGAGGATGGAAGAACCGTCTTGAGAAAACTAGATATATTGAAGTCCGCATTGTTCTTTTCATTCTTCGAAGGTCTCATATTGATTACTTCTATCGGTTTTGCCTGAAAATCACCGTACTATCTCACAAGACACATTCTTTTTGTTTTTTTTTTATAGAATCTTGCAAATATATGGTGAATAATTACCTCTAAAGATTCATTGTACTGTACTGGCATCCCGGGAGAGGTCTCAGAGCTCTCGTTAAACAAATTTCTCTAAAGCAAATAGAAAAGAACAATATACAATGTGTCGGTTGCATTCGCGAGTGTAAAATTTTCCTTAGAAGACGAAACGTACATACAACTATTGTTCTAGCTTACCATATTACCAAAATCTACATTTCCTCCCATGAACGAGGGGAAATTATTGGTAAAGTCTGTCGTCTCATTGGCCTGCGCCAACTCGGGTGCCGGCACAGGTATAGGATCGTACTCGTGAGAATATGAACCGTAGATAGACGGCGGTGCGACGTCGAGCATTCCCGACTGATTGTTCACTGGCTGAGTTTCATCTCCTGGCAGCTCTATGTCACTGTCGGGACTCGGCGAGGGCGCGTTTATGTCCGGCGACGGTATAGGCGAGATGAACGTAGGTAGTAACTCGTCCAACTTTTTCTTCAGGTTTTTGACGCGACTGCCAAAATTTCGATACGCCTATGCACGAAAGAATGCAACATGAGAAATGAGCGGTATTGAATTGGCTTCGCAAAATTTGACCACTTACGTTCGTCACTATTTTAACTTCCCCGCGTTGGGTCTCGTAAAACTGATCCGCTTGCTCCAACAGTTCAACCACTTGTGTCCTTTCCCTAATCTCCGCCTCTAACGCACGAACATAATTCTCGACGTTCCTGGCGACCAAGTCTATCTCCTTCTCTGCATCTTCCATGCGCCTTCTGTCCTTCAACGACGCGCGCAGCTCCTCTGCGGATTCTATGTCTATGTTGCTCTCCCGTAGGTCGCGCAGTCTGGCGTCGGTGGCTTGTTCCAGAGTCGCGCAGGACCTCATCGTGGAGATGAGCAGAGCCGCCTGAAACTCCTCCGGCTGCGTGCTTGGCGGGGGATCCAGTTTCTTTTTCGGCGCCGCCGAAATTAAACCGGACAAGTCGGCGAGAAATTCCTCGTCGTAGACCTGCCGCTGGTCCCAGATCTTGAAGATTCTCAGTATACGATGCTTCACCTTCTCGTCGCGGACCATGGGGGTCGCGCGTTGCAGAGTGGTACCCCATGATTCCACAAACTCAAAATTCTTCCTCTTCGAGTACTGAATAACGTCGTTCGCCAAATAGAACAACGTGAGCCGGTGCTCCACTTTCACTGTTGCACAAAAAACAAATTTACATACCTGTATCTCCAAATGTACAACAAAATTATGACGCATGGGTAATCTAGCAGAATCACCGAGCGAACTTATCTGTGACAAGAGCTCGAGTCCTACACCTACACAAGACTCATAGCAAGTCTAAGATTTGACGTTTACCTTTCTTTAAAACCTGCAGCCATGTGGCGACAATCTTCTTGTGATGCTGCCTCCGGTCCAGGCACCACGCGGAGAGGCCCTGGATGGACTCCTGGGAGTCCTTGAGCGTGTGGAGCCTCCGCTCAAACTGTTCAGCGTCGAAGTCGTTGCTCGCCATCGCGCGCGCGTTATCCATCGAAATCAACAAAGTCGTGGGCTCCGACGGCGCGTCACATCGTCAGCGTGGACCAGCGCGGGAGACACGCGCGACGGCGCACCAGTGTCATAGGACCGCGCGCGGGCCTCAACCGCGAGCAACCTAACCAAGCCGAGTCTCTCGCGGGGGAGGCGGGTAAACAGCGACGGCGGGGGGTTAGAGAGACCCGCGGTGGAGCGCGACCATTTTACCGACTCGACGGCGTCCTCGCGCCAATCCGTCGACGCGCCGGCGGCAACGTCGTCGGGGCCGCTCGTCGGGACCCGTCGGGGATTTCGTGTGACTTAAACCACTTCGCACGGGGGGCAACGACAACGACGAAGACGACGACAACGACGGCAAAGAACGGCAACCACGATCACTACGACGGCGACCACTACCACTGCGACGGCGGCAGCGGCGGCGGCGGCGGCGGCAGCGGCGGCGGCAGCGGCGGCGGCGGCGGCGACGTGACGCCGAGACGATGCGGCGAGTGTAGCGCGATGCCGTCGCACCACGCGCGGCTGTCACTGACACAACGACGATCCACCGGGACTAGCGCGCGCGCGGCATGTCAATTCTCGCACAGGATAGGTCCCGGAGCCGTGCCGTGTTGCCTCGCCGTACCTCACCAACGTGCTACGGAGCGCAAGCGATCTCGAAAACAACGGTCCGCCATCTTTTCCGACGGCCAAAACACGACCGCGCAATGGCCGGCGCAGTGCCAGCCTAAAGCCTCCGCTACAATGCCTGTGTCCAGCAGAAGTTTGCGCTTGCTAAGCGCTTTGCGTTCATTGGATTATACTTTCAGATCTGTGCTGAAATAGAGCTATTCTTCTAGATCTATCCAATCAGCATAAAGCGCTTATTCTTAGCTAACTTCGGCAGAACACAGCCAATGATTCTCGGTTCTGTCTACAATGGTCGTAGTCGTAGTCGCTCGATAAGAATTGACCAATCGCAGTCGATTATTCTTACGACTACGACCATTGTAGACAGAACCGAGAATCATTGTAGCGGAGGCTTTAGGCTGGGTCTACATAGGATGTAGTAAGTCGGAAGAAATTGACCAATCACAGTTCATTATTCTTCGATCGTAAGGCTGGGTCTACATTGGATGTCGTAAATCGTGTCGGAAGAGATTGACCAATCACAGTTCATTAGTCTCCTTACGGTCGAAGAATAATGAACTGTGATTGGTCAATTTCTTCCGACACGACTTACTACATCCTATGTAGTAAGTCGTGTCGGAAGAACGAACCCAGCCTAAGGAGAATACCCGACTCTAGCCCGACTCTGACCCTCGGTGGAAACGTAGTCTATGTAAAGCCCGCTGCAGACGATGCTATTTTTCCTGCTGGATTGCTTGCAATTTAGTAAATTACTAGGAATCCTGAATGCTGAGTGGTGCAATGATAGTAATTTACTAAATCGCAAGCAATCCAGCAGGAAAAATAGCATCGTCTGCAGCAGGCTTAA